AGTTGCCCCAACGTCTCCATCATGGTGAGGATACTATCAACATTCTGTTTTATGGTGAGGAACTGTGCAGGGCCAACAACTGCTTGATGTTGGGGCTCCCAAGGCAGGGAGTTGCGAAGTGAGCAGGATCCCCGAGAAAGGGAACAGGCTCTGGAGTGGTTGGATGTGTTATTAGGCATGATTTCTTTTAGTGCACAGAAAGGGGTTTGGTAAATGACTTTTTGTACGTTTCCCACAAACAATGCCAATATGATGTTGTCTAATCTAAGGTGTTCCAAACTAAGGACACGGTCAAATAATCCTTTCAACTGGATGAGGCTGAGGTGGAAGGAAAAAGTCGTGCACTGAGGTTTACAACCAAGAGAAAGGTCAAAGGCCTAAAGAGTTGTTCCCTGGGTAGGTACTCCAACACTCAAGTCAGTAGGATCAAGAAGGATGTGGTCGTGCTAAGCAGGCTAAAGAGATAGTACAAAGAGGCATTCAAAGAGTGCAATCCCCAAAAAAAGGTCCCTTACCTCAAGCAGTGAATACCTATTTATAGTTGAGTGTCTATGTCCTAGATGGTTAGGGCTTTTGGGATTGTCGAGATGAGGCGTCCACCATGGTCTTTGGTAGGTTTTTCCTCTTCCCTGGCGGAGTCCGCTTCCTTGTCCATGCAAAACACTCTTTCATAGTTGTACTCTTCCATTACGCATGACGCCGATGTGACATGAGAGAAAAATGCACATAAATAACCACTTAACATCCTTGGCCAGCTCAACCATCACTCGGACAATTTGCACTCCCATGTATTTGCACTAGTATAAATAAAATTGCACAACAACCAAACACAGCCTTACAAACAAATAAAACAAAGTCAAATGTAAAGTAAAATCAAACATTACATTCGACATATTCGTGTTCTAATCGATTTATGTTCGTGCAAATATAATTTGCATTGAAACCGAACTGAGCCTCAAAATAAATGGGTCAAATTATAATCTCCTCTTAATGGATTTTGACTTTAGACAAATGGGTACCCGTTTATTGCAGCTTATATATGCAATATGTATTTTTGTATATATAGAAATAATATTTATATATACATAATTATATAAATCATAAAAAAGAAAAGAAATGTATTTTATATTTCATATAAATTTGTCATATAAATAATTAAAAGAAATTAACTTTAATATTAATTTTTAGTCTTCTTTATTTTATAGACGTTAAAACAACTTGAATCTGATTCGAAACCTTACCAATAGGATCAGATTCGTAATTAATTGAGTGATGATCAACAGATCGAACTTAGTTGCGTCTCACTTAACCGAACCTCATCCAATTACAACCATACTACCTTCAACGTACTAAATTTCTTTGCTTTGTATTTTCATTTTCGTGAGCTGGTTCCAATTAGTTTGCCACTTTATTCTCAGCTATAAGGACTGATATTCAGGTTATAATAGCAGGAATATAGCATACATGAGGCTTGAGGTTAACTATAGTCTATAGGCAGTCCACAAATTTGATCCTTGGTACAACATTCTAGGGAAGCACCCTAGTCAGCTTTTACTTTGCCTATATTCTGGTTCTCCCTTGCAACACTGACCTCTCAAAGCCTTTGAAGGGAGGATATCACTCTATGTTTATTTAGTCAAGTGTTCTCTTGCTTCTTAAATCTCTTTTATCTTTAATGTTTTTATATATTTAATTAATTGCAGGAATTCAACATCAAAAGAAAAAAACAAAGATTTTACACTGAGGTACAAGTGTACAAGTATACAATTTAAAAAATATTTTGTTGTTTTTATTTTTTCTTCTTTTCTTCTATTTATGATTACCTTTTTTATTATTTTCTTCTGTACAATCATCCAAATGCGATTGGAGGAGAATTGGGGAGAGGGAATTTTCGAAATAGAAAAGGGTTTCAGTTTTAGCAAATGGGTTCCGTGTGTTTGACAAAAGTCTCAAATGGGACCATGCCCAAATGCATGCCATGCCCTGTCCCACCTGCAAAAGCACTTGTAGATGCATGCCATGCCAATTTTCCCTGCACTCTGCTAGGGGTGAATATTTTAACCTGGCTTACACAAACTTAGCCTCAAAATTCCGAGTTTGGGCCTAAATTTTGTGTTTAGTTCGAATCCCAACCCTGCATATATTTAAACATATGGATTTTATATATAGTGTATACATATATATATATATATATATACATTTGTTTCTTTATGATAATTTATTAAATTATATAATTTATATAAATATTATAATATAACACTTACAATAAGGATACTGGTTTTCCTTATCCCCACCAGGTACCTAGCCTCCTTGATCAATTGGGTTGACAGGGCTGAAATGAGGATGGGGAGTAAAGTCCCTGCCCCGCCTTGATCTCGATATCAAATATTTTTAATATTAAATTTATATTATATTATATATATTATTTATGTTATTATATATATCAAAATATATTTAAATATTTATTTATATTTTAAAATTTTCCTTTAAATAAACCTATTTTCCAAAAGAATACAATTAATTAAAAAAAAATTGGGGATTTGGGTCCCTATGGGGAGCGTGTCTCTGTCAAGGATGTGGAATATGGTCCTCGCGCTGAATTCACTCCATTGCCATTCCTATATATATATATATATAATTTTTAATATCAAAACATCATTAAGTAAAAAAATAAATAAAAATATTAACATTTTTAATATGAAAATTGGGATCCATGTCCAAGTATTCATATATATTAGCTTCCCCCTGCTTAAGAAAAAATCCTGACTCTACCGCTGCAGGTAGCAGCAGCTTAAATTCAAGGGAACAACCAATAAGGAGACTGCAAAGTAGTTCTTTGATTGAGGACTGAGGAGTCCATCACTTTTTGTCGTAATAAAGAAAAAGAAGAAATAGTGAGCCAATTAGTGAGTGAGAGCATTCATCTCATTAGGAGAAAAGCCTTATCCCCATCATCTCCATATTTGGAATGGGTAGTCTAGGCAAGACAACACTTGCCCAATCTGTCTTCAACCATAAAAAGTGTGATGAACTATTTTTTGAATAGATTATGGCTGTGTTTGGTTTGAAGGAAAAAGTAGGGAAATTGTATAGGTTTCCCTACCTTTACCTTCAAACCAAACATAGCCTATGGGTGTGTATCTAATCCTTTTAATAAGGTAAGGATTACCAAGGAAATTATTAAAGCCATTAATAGGGATGCCAATATTGATAATGATATTTCATGGGAAGCTTTGCATGATAAGTTTAGCAGTTCCCTTCAACAAAAACTCTATCTACTTGTCCTAAATGACCTGTGGACTGAGGAAGTCTCCGATTGGGAACCATTGAAGCTTTCCCTCTCAATGGCAGTGCACAAAGAAGTAGAATTCTAGTCACCACATGCAATAGGAGGGTTCCAACAATGATAGGCACACAACTTACTTCCATGATTTGGGTATTGTTTAATGAGGATTGTTGGTCAATATTGATGAGTCGCATAGCATTTGCAAATAGGACAAACAAAGGGTGTGAAATATTGAAAGGCATTGGCATTGAAATTGCAAAGAAGTGCAAAGGCTTGCCTCTTTCTGCAAACACCATAGACATCTCTTGCGCTTCAAGATATCAACAAAACAAGAGTAGAATAGCATTTTGGAATCAAAGGAAATTAGAACACATGTTTTACCATCTATGTTGTTGAGTTATTATTATTTGTCCTCAGATTTGAAACAATGCCTTGCACAGTTTGCCATCTTTCCCAAAGATTAGTGGATAAACAATGACAATTTGATCAAATTGTGGATGGCACGAGATTTCCTTATTAGTGTTGCCTGAAACACTTGGTAATTTTTATAATTTGTGGATAAACAATGACAATATGGAAAACACTCATATTGAAGAACTACCAAGCAAGGTAGAGAAATTGATACACCTTAGATACCTTAACTTATCTTGGAATACAGACTTAAAGTGTTGCCTGAAACTCTTGGTAATTTTTATAATTTGCAGTCTTTGGAGCTGAATAACTGTTGGAAAGTTTGCAAGCTTCTTGAAAGGAGTTGTGAAATTGACTAAAATTGAGGATACTGAAGAATTACAATACTTACTACAAGGCATTGGTAGACTCTAATCCCTTTGCAGATTGTCCAAGTTTATCATAAGTGGCAACAGTGGTGGTAATTTTATTGGGAGAGGATGTACAATTAAGGAACTAAAAGAACTCAAGTTCCTCCAAGGAAAGCTGGAAATAAGAGGATTAGGAAGACTAAAAGGTGAAAATGAGGCCAATGATGCACTCCTTAAGAATAAACAACATATCCACAAACTACATTTATATTTCGATGGAGATGGACAAGTAGTGGATTAAGTGGAGAGAAGGTGGATAGTAGACTTGAGAAGCTTGAACCACACCAAAAGCTCAAGGGGTTGACAATAAATGGTTTCCTTGGAACCAAGTTAGCCAATTGCACTACAAGAATATAGGTTTTTAGCGACCAGAAAAACGATAGCTAAAAGTCCAAATTTCATCGTTGAAAGTTTTTTAACGACGAGAGTATATGCCATCACCACTCGTCACTAAAGGACTTACCGCTAAAAACCCAAGCAATGAGTAGAAAATTTCAGTCGCTAAAACTTATTAACAACAAAGATTCCATTTGTCATTAAAAAATATCACAATGAACTACGAAAAAATCTATAACAACTAATGCATACCATCGGTATTGATTTCATTTACAACCAGTGCATATCGTCACTACTGATTTCATTTTTAATCCAAATAACAATAATGACCACTTTATACCATCATCAATTAAGTGAATTCGTTAAGGCAATACATAACCAATGTATTAATAGTTGAAATTCGTTATGTTTCATTGTGATATTAAATAACCATACACTTTACCCAAATAAGAGTAAAATTAGTAAAATGAAAATCAATAATAATTGTATTAATAAAATAATTTTCCATTAATAATCATAACGAGAAGATTCACTTAATACAAATTTCTATCCTCTCAACAAGTACAATATGTTGTCATAAAATTAACTTGAACCCATAATTCATATGTTATCTAGAGAAAGAAACTTTATTGTCTTCTTCAAAATGGATAAATGGATGAAAAAATCTTCTTTGTTTAAACGCTTCATCTCCAATTACCTGCACAAAAGAGAAATAAACAACATACATATTGGAAAGCAATTCTAAAAAATGTAAAAAAAAAAAAAACAAGGGCTTCAAGTGTAATTATTGCCAATTGTTCTGGCCTTTAAACTACATGCCTTCATTTCTACTTAGTGTATGTATATGTTCAGAAACAAAAAATTAGAATCGATCATATACCTTTAGGTTGTATCAAATCCAACATTTGCTTTAACAAACCAACTCCTCTGATCCCCACATATAGTATCATGTACACAAACTACATGCAAAACAAGAAGAAAATAAGGTTACTAATGAGAAAAAAGTTCAACACATTCTCTGTCTAAACACTTCAACAAAGCAAACCTAATTTATTTACTTATTTACTTAAATTATAAATCCCAAGTCATTTACTTAAAAGAATCAAAGGTCATCCAATTTAATTCCCATCAAATCTATTGCTTGATCTACTCCACATGGTCATTAATTCACAACCTTTAGAGAATTGTCATCTAATGCTAGAAAACTAGGTGTTATGCTCTAGGAACCACTCTTTAAGCTTTTTATCAATAACTTCAAGAAACATCAAGTTCTATATCTTTGAAATCCTATTATCCGTACTACACCACTAGTTGGTAGGTTCCAAAATTAATAATAAAAAAGAAGGGAAAGAACAAATGTACCAAATAATATCAAATCCCAATACCTAACCCATAATAGTCAGAAGAAGTTTGCAATACAAGTGGAGAATGGTGAAAAATTACAATGGACAGGATGGTGCTTCCAGGTCCAAATAAAAATTCAAGGGTTAACTCTGGAAACTAATTTCTATTTACTACCTTTACAGGGCTACGATGTTGTACTAAGAACACAATGGCTGCAAACCATTGATCATGTTTTGTGGGATTTCTCAAATTTGTCTCTCCATTTCAAGGACTCATATGATCATTACACTCTATAGTGAATTAAACCTAAGGCACCTCAAGTGATTAAAGCCAACTAGCCAGTCGAGTTATCAATAGTACTAGGTATTTTTACTTACTACAGCTTTGTGATAAGGAGATAGAAGGGCAGAACTCAGGAACAAAAGATCCTCAAGTTCTGAAACTGTTGAAGTAATATGCTGATATATTTGAGTCACCCACAGGACTTCCACCACCCATACAATGTGATCACGCTATCCCTCTAGTGCAAGAAGACAAGGCTATCCAAATCCGTCCTTACAGGTATCCATATTATAAAAAAACTGAGATTAAATAGATAGGAAGAGAAATGTAGAGAAAAGGGATTATTAGACCCAATAACAGCCAGTTCTCCTCCCCAGTGCTGTTAGTGAGAAAGAGAGATGGAGGGTGGTGCCTTTATGCTGATTACAGAGCCCTGAATAAGGCCACCGTTAAAGACAAATTTCCAATGCCCATTGTTGATGAGCCGTTAAATGAGCTACAGGGAGTCGAAATCTTCTCAAATCTGGATCTAAGATCAGGATACCGCCAGATCCAAGTGAAGCCCGAAGACATTCCAAAGACTGTATTCCGTACTCATAGAGGGCATTATGAATTCCTCGTCATGCCCTTTGGTTTGGCAAATGCCTCTTCGACATTCCAATCCTTAATGAATCAGATTTTCAGAGAACAACTGAGGCGGTATGTCCTTGTTTTCTTCAATGATATCCTAGTATACAGTAAGACTAAGGTTGATCATCTCCTACATCTTAAGCTGGTCATTAATATCCTTCGGACCAATAAACTCTTTACTAAGAAGAGCAAGTGCCAATTTGTAGTTTAAAAGATTGGATACTTGAGGCATGTGATTTCTGAAGATGGAGTGGAGGTAGACACCTCAAAGATTCAGAGCATCACTCAACGGCCTAGGCCTAAAAATATCAAGGGGCTATCTGGGATTGACTGGATACTATAGAAAATTCATAAAAAATTATGGCCAACTAGCCAGACCCTTAACTGAACTGTTAACGAAAGAATGATGGAGATGGGATCGGGAGATTGAAGAAGCTTTTGAGAATTTAAAGAATGCTATGACAACAGGGGAAGCAGGATAGAAGCAATTCTGTCACAGTAGGGGAAACCTCTTGCTTTTTACAGCCAAGCATTACATAATAAACATCCGTCCCTCTCAACTTATGACAAAGAATTATTGGCAGTGGTAGCAGTAGTTCAAAATTGGAGGTCGTACTTTCTTGGATGGAAATTCTGCATTATCACAGACCACTGGAGTTTAAGCTATATTCTAGAGCAAAATATCTCTGCTCCCTTACAATAGAAACTTCTCAATAAGTTGACTGGGTTTGACTACGAGGTTTGTCACTTTGTTATTGAAAGGGTTGTGAGAATGCTGCCGCAGATGTCCTTTCCAGAAGAGAAGAAGGAGAGCTTGATGCCATTTCCACTCCTATTCCTAGCTGGATTGAAGAACTCAAATCTGAAGTAGCCTAGGATCCACAATTACAGAAGCTGATTCAAGGTCTTTCTAAGGGAACAACCAACTCATCTATTTATTCTTATAGAAATGGGCTATTGTGGAAAAATGACAAGATCAATTGTCACTCTAGGCTCCGCAACACTCTACAGAGGCTACGAAGAATTTTCAATTGGAAGGGGTACAGATTAGAGGTGCGAAGATGGATTAGAGAGTGTGATGTCTGCCAATGTCACAAGGTAGAAAACATTCCTTGCCCAAGGTTGCTACAGCCCCTCCTAGTCCCAAAACAAGCATGGGTGGATATTTCCATGGATTTCATAGAAGGTCTCCCACCCTCCAATCGAAAGACTATGATTTGGGTAGTGGTATACAGATTGACAACAAATTGCTCACTTCACTGCCATGGCTCATCATCCTTATACAACCCAAGGGGTTGCGTAGGTCTTCCTTCAAGAGATTTTTCGCTTTCATGGAATGCCCAAATCCATAGTAAGCGATAGAGATCCAATCTTCACCATCACATTTTGGAAGGAACTGTTCAACTTACAGGGAGTGAAACTCAACATGAGCCCATCATACCATCCTCAAATGAATGAACAAACAGAGATTCTTAATAGAACCTTGGAGACATACCTGAGATGCTTTTCAAGTCAGCAACCCAACTCCTGGAGTTGGTGGCTACCATTAGCAAAATGGTGGTATAACACCACCTTCCATTCTACAACAAAAACTACCCCCTTCCAAGCACTGTATGGCTATCCACCACCCACTTTGATGTCTTATATTCGAGGGACCATGAAGGCTGTAGCTGTAGAAAATGAACTCAAGGAATGTGAATTGGCACTGAACAAGCTCAAACAAAATCTGTTATTCGCACAGGGGAGAATGAAAAGATAGTAGACAGGGGAAGAACAGAAGGACATTTTTAGGTGGGAGATAAAGTCTATCTGAGACTTCAGCCTTACCGCTAGTCATCTATAGTTGTGTGTCGCTCTAAAAAACTGGCAACCCGATTCTACAAACCATATGAAATTATAGAGAAGATCGGTCTTGTGGCTTATTGCCTTGACTTGACAAGTGGGTGCAAACTTCATCCTGTTTTTGATGTTTCATGGCTTAAGCAGAAACTGGGCTCTCAAGCCATTAGCCAACAAACTCTGTCTCCATTGACTGAAGAAGGTACTCTCTATCCAAGACCCCTGTCCATTCTAAACAGAAGAATGATCAAGAAGCACAATCATGCAGTGACAGAAGTCTTGATTGAATGGGAAGGGACTCCAGTTTGCCACTTGGAAAGGTTGGGATGAGCAACAACTGCCTGACGTGGTAGCTGACGATGGAGCTGAGTCAGGCACCTCCTTACTAACTGGCCTTCAGGTGTAACAACCCCCCTTGTTAACCAACCAAGTATTTTCGGTAATGGGATTGCGATTTGACAGCCTATAATTGGAAATGATTAGTTTCTAGCTTTTAGCTTTTTGTCTATTTGAAGAAACGGGCGAAGGATTGGAGTCTATAAATTGTATCGACCTTTTTCTTTAATGGATATCCGAAAATTTTGCCAATTACTTGATCGACTGACTGCTTGCTGCCTCTGTGAGCCGTGCCTTAGCACTGTATCTCGAGGTAGAAGATAGCCCTCTTCTCGACCTCAAGAAGAGAGTGATACCATCGATTAAAAATAGGAAGCTACCCTAAATAGATTTCTCCATACCGACTACCAAAAAAATTGTTTGGGGTCAATGTTCAACTATTATTATTAGTCATTGTCGAATTCATCTAGGTCTTCATCTCCTCGATATAACTCTGGCAATCATTGTAATCGTAGCCATAGTCCGATCAACTGTCACAAAAGGTCTTGTTATGAACCAGATCGTCGTTATGATCGATTTGAGTCGAATGGTCATGAGAAGACCTAGGTCTGGTAGCTTGTCCTGAGATGGCCGATAATTCGACCGTAGCGACAAGGATCAGGGCACACCATTTTCAGATAGAGGATTTAAGAATGGTATTTTAGGAACAGAGGTAAAAGGGTATTTTAGGAATAGAGGTAAAAGAGGGAATTTTAAAAATTTTTAAAAAATATTTAACGTAAGAAAGATTTTAGACAATTGTCAGAGTAAAGATAGAATTAACCAATTAACTAAACCATAAAGGTTGTTTAAGAAATTTGCCCTGTCCCTTTTCAATTCTCTCCGGTCCCCCTTTTCCATCTTTATCATATTGAAGCGGTAACGTGTTTGCCTACCACCCCTTTCTCCAGTTACCATTTCAAATAATTAGTTAATTTATTTTCGAGTGGGTCAGCTAACTCATATATTGAAAATATTATTGGTTTTAGTTTGATTTTTATTTTTAAATGATGTCGTACCAAGTCTATAACAGCCACAATAATATGCATATTTAACTAGGACAATACGAGAAGGGATGCCTTGGGGGTTATTGGGTCAATTTATGTAAACGCATTCTGACATATTTAATTTTACAAAGAGAGAAGGAGAGAGAAAGGGACTATACAATATGTGTATATGGATTCTGATAGATATGCGTGTCCATTAATTTTCAGATACTTTTGACTTTACAATTTACTTTTCATGTGTTAGTCTTCGATATTCATTACTATTAAATTTTTACTTTTTTTTTTTTATTTTAATGTGGGACATAAGAGGGAGCCTTCTACCTCAACTGGACCGCTTATCAGGATTCATTGGATCCATGTTTTCCAACTATTATTCATATTCAAATTGGTATACTTTTTTATCAGTAACAAACAATTAAAATATGTTCAGGTAAATCATTCCCTTTACGAACTGTTCAAATATATAATAATATGACTTGATTGGATTTTGGTTCTTCAACTGATAGTGAGGATTTGATGAGTCTGGAGTGAACACAGGGCTACCAAAGAGTTGAATTTGGAGGAATGCAAGGGCAGTTACTTGTTACTCTATCGATTTATGACTTTTCAAATTGAGTGTTAACACACCATTACAAGCAGTACTACTTATTTGTCACTAAGGATCTGTTTGGAATCATAATTGGAATCAAAATTGGAATTCGAATAGTCAGACAGGAATCAAAATTGAAAATAGAATAAATTGGAACGAGATTTAATTCTCAAAGAAAAGAGAAGGAATGGCCATTCCCTCAAATGGTGGAATACCATTCCAAGAGAAATACCTTATTATGCGTGTACCAATTATCAAAAAAAAAAAAGAAAAACATTGATAGACCTGTTTTCATCATGCTAGGGCTTGCTTTTACTAATCACTATGCGTGAACAAGATAAATCTATTTCGCATACATACAAAATAAACCTAATATTTCTTTTCCTTTTCCATCTCATATGTGAGTCCTGATCTGCTCCTCGTACTGATCTCATGACGCAACGTGGAAGCGATGGAAACCGGAGCTGGCTATGTAAGCACCGGGTGAACCTAGTTTCTAGCGAAACTACACGATTTTTCTAGGAGAGAGAAAAGGTGGTGGAACTTTAAGAAGAAAAACTGAAAAAATTCTGAAGTGTCTATTAATTGAAAAATAACATTATTTATAGTACATCTGGAAGTTGTAAAGTAATTAGGAAAGAGAGTTGTGATAGATCCTAATCTGCATGAATCTTGGACTTTCTTGA